CCCTACCTCTCTATTATCCTCTCCCTCACTCTTCATCATCCTCTCCCTCCCTTTCTATCACCCTCTCCCTTTCTCTCTATCATCATCTCCCTTTCTGTCATCCACTCCCTTCCTCTCTATCATCCTTTTACTCCCTTTCTATAATCCTCTCCCTTTCTCTCTATGATCCTCTCCCTTTCTCACTATTATCTTTTCCCTTTCTATCACCCTTTCCCTCCTCTGTATCATCCTCTCCCTCCCATTCTCTATCACCCTTTCCTCCTCTCCCTTTCCATCATTCTCTCCCTTTCTCACTATCATCCTCTCCCCTTCTATCATCCTTTCCCTCCCTCTCTATCATCATCTCCCTCCTTTTCTTTCTATCATCCTCTCCCTCTGTATCACCCTTTCCCTCTCTCTCTATTTTCCTCTTATTCCATCTCTATCATCCTCTCCCTTCCTCTTTATAATCCACTAACTTCCTCTGTAACATCCTCTCCCTCCCTCTCTATCATCCTTTCCCTCCCATTCTCTATCATCCTCTCCCTTTCTCACTATCATCCTCTCACTTTCTATCATCTTCTCCCTCCCTCTGTATCATCCTCTCCCTCCTTTTTTTCTATCATCCTTTTCTTCTCTTCCACTCTATCATCCTCTCACTCTGTATCATCCTTTCCCTTTCTTTGTATCATCATCTCAATCCCTGTCTATCATCCTCTCCCTCTCTACCATTCTTACCCTTTCTCTCTATCATCCTCTTCTTCCCTCTCTAACATTCTCTCCCTCTTTATCTTCCTCTCCCTCTCCCTCATTCTTTCCCTTTCTTTCTATCATCCTTTCAATCCCTGTCTATCATCCTTTCCCTGTGTATAATCCTCTCCCTCTCTATCATCCTTTCCCTTTCTCTCTATCATCCTCTTCTTCCGTTTCTAACATCCTCTCCCTCTTTATCATCCTCTCCCTCATTCTATCCCTTTCTTTCTATCATCTTTTCACTCCCTTTCTATCATCCTCTCCCTCCCTCTCTATCATCCTTTCTCCCCCTCTCTATCATCTTCTCCCTCCCCCTCCCTGTCTTTCATCCTCTCCCTCTCTACAATCCTCTCCCTTTCTCTCTATCATCCTCTCCCTTTCTACCATCCTCTCTGTTTTTTTCTTTCTATCATCCTTTCCCTCTCTTTCTCTCTATCATCCTCTCCCTCCCTCTATATCATCCTTTCCCTTTCTTTCTATCATCCCCTTTCTTTCCCTCCCTATTTGTCATCCTCTCCCTCTCTTTCTCTCTATCATCCTCTCCCTTTCTTTAAATCATCCTCTCCCTCTCCATCATCCTCTCCTTCACTCTCTATCACCCTCTCTCTCTCCATCATCCTCTGTTTCCCTCTCTATCATCCTCTCCCTCTCCATTATCCTCTTCCTCCCTATCATCCTTTCTCTCCCTCTCTATCATCCTTTCCCTCCCTCTCAATTACCCTCTCCCTCTCGCTATCTTCCTTTACCTCTCTCTATAATCCTCTCCCTCTCTATCATCTTCTTCTCAAACTATCATCCTCTCCCTCCCTATCATCCTCTCCTCTCTCCCTCCCTCCCTATCATCCTATACATGTACCTCTCTACCATCATCTCACTCTCCCTCCCTCTCTATCATCCTCTCCCTATCTATCATCCTCCTCTTCCTCCCTCTCTATCATCCTATCGCTCTCCCTCCGTCCCTATCATCCTCCCCCTTTCTATCATCCTCTATCTCTCTATCATCCTCTCTCTCTCCCTCCCTCTGTATCTTCATGTCTCTTCCTCTCTATTATCCTTAACCCTTCCTCTCTATCATCCTTCCCCTCCCTATCTATCATCCTCTCCCTCTCCATAATCTTTTCCCCCTCTTTATCATTCTCTCCCTCCCTCTCTATCATCCTCTCCCCTTCTTTATCATTCTCTCCATCCCTCTCTATCATCCTTTCCCTCCCTATCTATTATCTCTCTCTTTCTCCTCTCTGTTATCTCCCTTCCTCTCTGTCATCCTTTCCCTCCCTATCTATCATCCTCTCCCTCTCTATCATCCTATCCCCCTCTTTATCATTCTCTCCATCCCTCTTTATCTTCTTCTCCCTACCTATCTATCATTCTCTCCCTCTTCATCATCCTCTCCCTTCCTCTCTGTCATCTTTTCCCTTCCTCTGTGTCATCCTCTCCTTTCCCTGTATCATCCTCTCTCTCCCTCTCTTTCATCCTCTCCCTTGCTCTCTATCATCCTTTCCCACTCCATCATCCTCTCCCTCACATTCTTATACCCTCTCTTTCTCCATCATCCTCTTCCTACCTCTCTATCATTCTCTCCCCCTCTCTATCTTCTTCCCCTCTCTCTCTATCATCCTCTCCGTCTCCATCATCATCTCCCTTCCTCTCAATCATCATCCCCTTTCCTCTTTATCATCCACTACCTTCCTCTGAATCATGTGTTCCCTCACTATCATGATCTGCCTCCCTCTCTATTATCCTCTGCCTCTCTCTCCATCATCCTCTCTCTCTGTATCATCCTCTCCCTTTCTCTCCATCTTCCACTCCCTCTCTCTCTATCATCCTCTCCTTCTCTTTCTATCATCCTCCCACTCTCCCTCCCTATTTTTCAACCTTTCCCTTTCTCTTCATTATCGTCTCTCTTCCTATCTATCATCAACTCTCTCTCTCTATCTATCAATATATCCCTTCTCTTTATCATCCTTTTACTATCCTCCCTTTCTATCTTCTTCTTCCTCCCTATCTATCATCATTTCCCTTCCTCTTTATCACCCTTTTCCTCCTCCCTCTCCTTTCCCTCAGTTTCTATCATCCTTTCCCTTCCTCTCTATCATCCTTTCCCTTCCTTTCTATCATCCTCTCTCTCTCTATCAACCTCTCCCTCTTTATCATCTTCTCCCTCTCTTTCATCTTCTACTTCTCCCCCTCTCTAGCATCTTCTCCCTCTCTATCATCCTCTCACTCTCTATCATCTTCTCCTCTCTATAATCTTCTACCTCTCACCTCCGCCCTACCATTCTCAACCCCCTCTCCTCTCCCTCCCTTTCTATCATCCCCTCACTGGCTCTCTATCATCCTCTCATTCTCTCTCTCTATCATACTCGCCCTCTTAATTCCACTGTATCATCTTCTCTCTCCCCCTCTCTGTTATCCTCTCCTTTTCTCTGTATAATCCTCTCCCTCTGTATTATCCTCTCCCACTTTCTCATTACCATCCTCTACATATCACTCCCCTTCTATCACCCTCTCCCTCTTCTTTCCTCTCACCAACAACCTCCTTTTTTCTCCCTCCCTCATCCTTTGCAAACCTCTGTCCTCATCCTCTCATTCACCACTCTCTCTATCTCTCTTTTTTGTCCATCTGACGCAGTTACATGTACTCTATTGTGTCATGAAATAAACCAAATAGAGGCATTATTTTTTTATAATTGTTTTAAAAAAGTTTTTAAATTTATTTTTATATTTTTATTGAGGCATGATACATAGATGTTTCATATTTATTTCCAAAAAAAAAAAAATGGGATTAATTGTTATGTTACAATAAGGAGAAAATTCTGATCGTTATTTTACAATTAAGTAACAGGCATCTTAAATAGCTGAAATAGGTACAAATAATACACAATCCTCAATAAAATACAATAGAAATTTAGAATAGAATATTTTAAAATAGTCTATCTAAATATACATGTAACAAGCAACTTAACTAAAGTAACTATACATGAAACTAAACATAAATTCTAAAATAGCTTTACATGTAGGGCGACAGGCATCTAGAATTGTTGCTTTAAAGTAATATACCGTCGGTGACATCTAAAATAGCTTAGTACGTATAACAGACATCCAAGACATAGCTTCAGGTCAGACATCTGAAATAGCTACGTGTAACACATCTTAGGAAATTATAGCTAAGATAGCAGAAAGGTAAAATACATGTAACACCATACAGATTCTCGATTACTTCATAATGCAGTTTATTTATTCATAAACAGAAAATATAGATCAGCAGGAAGACAACGTGGTCTTACAATAGCAAATTTGTATTTCTCGATCACGTTGGTTAAAATGCTGCCTATCAATATTGCGCGTCGAAGTTGAAAACGAACATATTTCAATATATTATTACTACTATCACACAATGTGATTTAGCAGACTCGCTTTCGACTATATAAACAACTTTTTTTTTCTAAAATTAGACAATGATGCATTACAATTGATTGGAAGCAGTAATATAATGGACGAAATGATCCAGATAATAGCAATAATAGCAACAGAGTAACAGAGGTAAGATTTTACATTTACATAGTAATTCGAAAGTATTTTCGCTATTATTATCATTTGAATACTCTTTAAATAAATATTAATGGGGTCTTACGTAGCAAGAAAGCATTCATTCTTAACCAGTTTAAATACATGTATAACTAAAAAAAAAACCCCAAAAACAATGCAAATGATGTAAAATGAGTAGGATAAAATAGTGAATATTAAAATTAAACAAATCCTTAATTGACTTTAACAATTAAGAATATTAACCAGTTATATTTTGGCAAAAAACTATTAATTCACAAAAATGTAGCTTAAAAGAATGACATGTATTTATTATAATTAAAAAGTAATAAAAAGATATGCTTTAAGGTAAAATGTTGCAAAAATTGCTTGCCTTTTGCCAAATCTAATCAGTTTACAGAATATTGTTTTTAAGTGAAATTAGATAGAACACAAGATACAGTTGGGGTTACTTTTATATTTTCTGTATACTTTTAATGCTGTCTTAAAAATAATGTTTTTAGTAATAGTTATTGTATATTTATCATGGTGTATCCTGAGTTATTTGGGCGAAGGGCGGTGACGAGTGAAGTTCTCCGCCCTTCGTCCAAATAAATCAGGATACACCATAATAAATATTCAATAACTTTCTTGTATCATGGCCAATCAAACGTCATATTATAAATAATATGCATGATTTTTAATTACACCAATAGAAAATGTAGTTTTTGTCATGTGACCGCATGGATAATCTCTCCTTCCTGCCAGTATTTTTAATAAACTCATTTTGCGTGTGTGTGTTCATGAGAAAGGACGTCGGATTGCAGCATCCCGTCGTAATTTAAGCACGGATTTTATTTTAATGAATATATCACAAGAAAACCTTTGGATATCAAACAGGAAAAAAATCGAAGTTAAGAAGGAAAACTCGGATGTTATTCGAAAATCCAGAAAAAAGGTACCCGTTGATCATTTGACATATTTGAGAGCTGTCGCGTTCACTAAAAGCCTGTGTCAGGGTCTTCATCTGTGGATGCAGTACATCTGCACTTATTCTCGTTGAGCAAAGAACACGGCAAAGATGTTTTTTTTTTTTAGGCTAAAGCGGTTTATTACAATAGGTGTGATATTTTAATATAATTCTGTGTGAAATTCGTGTCAAGAACTTGATTTCTCGTTGTGGAGGATTGAATATTTGCAGAGTTCCTTAAAAGCATTTAGTAGTTTGGGATACGCAGTGTAATTTTATTTATTTAAAAGACTTTTATTTCACTTGCAGAAATTTAGCCTTTGTATTATAGCCCATTTCATTCTGTAATTCAGATTCAATATACATGTGATTTAAAATGATGAAATCGCCTAAGTGTTCAATAATTTATTTACAAGGCACAGTTTTTGCTGGCTCCGCCCATCGGTGTATCTCCAGTTATTGTACACTTGACTTCAAAGGAAAAACACCGCAGCCATGATACAATTTCTAATATTGGCTTAGTTTCTTTCTTTCTTCATTTTTATTTACAGATCTCAGATTCCAGTAGTAGAAATAGACTTCTTAATCAGGAACATACCAACAAGCGCCCAGTCTTGTTTTTGTCTTTCATTGCTCAGAATTTAAGAATTATGGCTTCATTTTACATATCAGCTACCGGGCTCCTGTGCATGATGTGTGAACCAGGAACTTACAAAGATATGGATTGCGTCATCAATATGACGTCAGCGACATGTTCAGATTGTCCGGACGGAACTTTCCAAAAGATGGAAAATAATGCGGAATATTGCAACAACTGTTTGAGGTTCTGTACGGATAAAAATCAAGTGATATCAGAGCCATGTACTAAAACTTCGGACACAAAATGTCGATGTAAAGATGGGTTTTATTTTAAAACTCGGTCTGTTGATGGATCAGGGGGATATTGTATTGAAAACAACACAGGACAGATGATATCAACAGGTTAGGCTTTCTACATAATAATATTTATTTTATTCTTTGATCAAGTAATCGAGTGTTTTTGCTTTTATACTTACATGTATATCTTTTATTTTTATAATTCATGAATGTTTTTCATGGTTTTGTTTTGCACAAAATGCATTGAATGAATTAAAGGTATTGCAGATACAAATTTTAACTTGCACAACTTACTTGTTTGTATTGAAGTCCTAGATATAAAAAATGTCATACATAATAAACAATATATAAAACTGTGAATTGTACAAATGGTTAAAAAAAACTGATATAATGCACAACTCATCATCCCATTTTTTTGTCTTTGTTACTCATTTTGTAATTTTAAGATTCACTCACTACACTAGTAATCAAGCTCAAACTTTGACTTATAAAAGTTTAATTCAGAAGCTAACATCATCAACATTTAACAAGATATATGATTAACAAGGGCTCAACAAAGCAGACCATGTTAAAAAATCTAAATTTATCAATTTTATTTTACAATGAATCTTAATATACCGGGGGTATAAGGAATCACTGTCTAGTTAGTAGTGTATGCCAGGGTCGAATCTTGGACACGTGGGCTAATTTATGCAACCCTTTCTGCAAATTATCCAACGTTTCTAACTATTGTTGTTATCAAGGCATATCCAGCAAATTGGACCGTGATTGAAAATTTGTATGTATATCTTTAGCGACTCAAATTCAATGGGAATATGTATCATTGTGTACATCTCAAAATGATGTTTTATATACAGTGGACCTTCAAATATCCTGACGCCAGATATCCGGATGCTTCAGTATCCGGACAATTTTTCATCGGAACAGAATTTTTTAATGTTATTTTGTCTTGTTTAACTGGTAATTCAGATATCCGGACGCTTCACATATCCGGACAAATTGACTGGGAACTAAAGCGTCCGGGGATATGAGGCTCCACTGTAATAAAAAAATATTTAAATGCATACACCCGTAAACATGGTTTGTACTGAGCGGTGAAAAATGACTGAAAATGTAAGATCTGTCTGACTATCCCGTTTCTTGTAAACTACTCCATGTGTGCTTTATTGTACTGGACGAAGCGCTGCACAGAACAATAGGAAGAGATAATTCTGATAGATGAAATAGGATTAATCGAGTGACGTATTCTTGTTTCACACGCATTTACATTGTTATTTGTAGTAATCAATTGTTTAAAATTAACTTTTTTTTCTTAGAGGCCCCGTTTACGGAGAAGAACGTGACATTATGTGGAAACAACTCCTTTTTTCCATTTTGCACAAATCTTGTACGAACTTCAAATAGTCTGACAGGTATCAAATTACGCCTGATAAATAACCAAGCATGCAAAACTAAATTAAGACAGTATAAATTACTATTTTTACTAAATCTTGATTGATGGCAAAATACAAAAAAACGATGTAACTGTCTTTAGAAAATGCACATTTTACATTGTGTAAAAAAATATTATAATGATTAGTAAATGTTACAGAAAAAAAAAATATTAAAATTTAATGGTAATCTTATAGTTATACATTACTTATGATGAAAAGTCGTAAATAATTATCAAAACAATGTACTTGTATATATTTATATAACAGTTTATTTCACAAACACTGACCTTAAAAAAATGAACTTATTTTCTTAATAAAATACTAAGTATACTTTATTTTTCTTGTATGAAAAAATAATATCGTCTTATTATGTATGTTTTTTCTAAATAAGTAAATTAAGTAACGTCAGGTGCCTGTGGTATTTTTTCTTCAGAGGAAGCGTACACAGCTGTAGAACGTGTGGTAATCACGGTTGTTCCTGTTGTCTCATTGGTTGCTTCTCTGGTGGGATTTTTGTTCCTCATTGTTTACTACACTAGAAATTCCGTATACAGGTAATCAAAAGGGGAGACTGGCAAAACGCCAACTTACCTTGAAGTTTGAAAAATGCTTTTTTAACATCTGATGCATGGAAATTCAGATACAGCATCATTGTTTTGTGTTTGAAATCTGCAAACTTTAGAGCTGCGCATCTGTCATGTAATATACAAAATTCTCTATGTGTTTCTCCTCATGTTACACAATCTCATCGCAGGTCTGATTTTGCAAAGTATAGTGAAATGAAATCAACACCATTGTAAAGATAAAGTTATTAAAAATTACGAAAACAAGATAAACTTAACATGATAAGGTATCAGATCAAAAGGTATGCGCACAATACATATTACAATATAGTTTGTAAAATATATAATCTATAAGAAGTTAAAAGCATTAGGAATGCAGAGAAATGATGGCATATCAAAAATTAAAATGCGAATATTACTATAACTATAATAATAATAATATTATATATTAATATAACTGATTGCTAAAATATGTTCGGCAATCACATTAGGCGGCATTTATAATTATGAAATATTGTATTCGCAATATACATGTAAAACTACACTGTAGTTATTAAATTAGTAAATTTTCTTTACAGAACACCTCGTTTAAAAATTCCAGAGGGGATGCGAGGTAAGATCGATTTCGAAAAAAAAATTCAATATATACTAAAAATGTTATATATTTCGAGATAACTATTTAATGGACCACAAATTGCAGATAATTTTCTTCTGTTTGAAGACTGTACTTCAAAAACTTTCATTCAAACTACCAGACATTTATCAAACAATAAAACATGAGCCAGTTAATTTTTTCTTCAATTATATGTACAACAACTGCATTTATTTCTTATCTCTTCGTCCTTAAATAGACATGCACAGTGTAAATTATTTTTTATGGTTGATGGATTAATTGATTGATGTTTAACGCCCGTCTCGAGAATTTTTCACTCATATGGAGACGCCACCACCTGCCAGTGGAGAGCTGCAAATTTTGTCCTATACTCGGCACTTACAACCATTGAGCAAGGAAGAATCTTTTTCGTGTCAGCATCTACTGCGACACGGGGCCTCGGTTTATACGGTCTCATCCGAAAGACCTGTCTCCACGTCCCACTGTGAGATTCGAACCCGCGACGTAAGGATCAACTCGATCTTACTTCGCAGCTTTAGAGCAGACGCTCTAACTACGGATGGCTGTTTTATGGCGTTTAACTTCAAAAACATTAAAAAAGAATAATCGATTTTTTTTACTTTAAAGTCTTTTATATAAATGTGTAGATACTTCATTTTCAACAAAGGTACTAGTACCCAGCTATCACATTCACCACGAAAATTATATGAAAGTTTTTAAAGATAATGACTTACATGTAATAAAGAACATTTATCATTGTCAGATGTTTACCTTACATGCAAATACGAGGGTTGATCCAAAAGTTCGTGGAATTTCTTTCTAAAATTTTACCGCGATTTGATGAAATCAATCAACAGGCATATTCATAATACAGAGTCATAATGCAACAATATTGGAAAATTTCACCAATAAGGTCACACGAGCTTTCTGAAAATTGATAGTTGGGAAACCCGGGGGAGACTTCGACGTAACGTCAAGTTAGATATATCACGTCACGTTATAGAAGCATCTCGCCCAAATGTCCAGTTATAATATGTAATTCTACAAAATGCTGCCTTTTTCTTCGTTTTTTTTTTCTAAAGAAAAGCCTGATCGAGTATCCTCTCGCACCAACTTATCTTCATTTTTTACTCATATTTCAAAATACTACCCATCTTTCCATATGATGTTCCAATTTCAGTAGCAATGTCAAAGACAGCACGGCAGCCGACAACGTCTATTAACGCTTTTAATTTGTCTAGGGGGATACGCACTTAAAACAGAGCCTCCAAAAAGCGACCACACCTTTTATCAACGTCCATGGAAGTTCTATTTTTCTTACATTTCTTATGCCACTATAAAACCAGTAACTAAATGCATTTTTCCCAAGCCTATGTCAATAATATACGCGTTTAAGATAGAGTGATCCCGGGATTTTCACAAAACGTGTGACTTGACCGAAATTTGACGTTATCTAACAACTTAAAGATGAACAATAAATCATCAACTTATCAACTAAATATCCAGTAAAATCAGTAAAACTCTCACACAAAGGTTTATAAAATATTAAGCAATCGTAATAATGACATAATTTTCGTTTTATATACCACATAGGGCCGTTTAATTCTTATTTCACGAATTCAGAATTTAAATGATAATAAACGCGGTAATGTCTCCCCCGCATTTCCAAACAACCGTTCCTATGGCAACTGCCATAAAGTTACTATCGAAGATATTTAAAATGTTTTTTAATTCAAAATATTTATCAAGTGTCTATATTTTCATTTGTAATTTTTAACCAATTCCACTGAATAATAAATAAAATATGAAGAAATTCAACGAACTTTTGGATCAACCCTCGTAATGTTATCAGTTACTTTTGGTAAAAAAATAATTTTATTTTATTTCAAATAGTGTCATTTTCTGATGATTACCATTTATTCCAAGTTACATAAAAGAATAGGCCACTTTCACTGCATAAAACACATGGAGTTAGAATTTTTCAGTATCATTTCAATCTTCATGAAAAAGTCGCTGATTGATGTTTGTAATTTTTGAGTCCCGTTTACGTCACAAAACCCCTGTCACATCGGCCGGTCTGCGTCCTCATGGCGATCGCACAGCCTCTATAAAAAGAAATGGAAAACGAGGGGGTAATCGCATTGCATTCTCTTATAGCGCCGTGATAACGCGGCGAGATCTCCACTAAACGCGGTAGGGTCGCGTATGGTGATCTAGATCGCCAGAGGACGGCAATCACTTTGGGCATGCACAAAGTACGCGCCGTGTGATCGCAGTCTGATAAGAACGCAGTGGAAAAGTAGTATAATCGCCGTAGCAGCGTGTTGAGATCTCCAACAACGCAATGGGAGCTCCGTGTGAATGACGTTAAGACGCACATGATCGCAGCATGAACACAGTGATAGTAGACTTCGCTTCTACGGAGACCTCACGGAGAAGTCACGGAGTCCTTGGAGATGACACTGCTTTTCTATCGCGCTTTTACGGCGCTTGTAATGAGATTAATCGTCTATTTTTATTTAGTTTATTTTTTGTGAGTGCGATTGTACAACGACAGCATGGGGTTGTCACTGCGATTGTTGGTGTTTTTACAATGCGCTTTCATAGTGTTGTTAGACCGTTGTCAGCCAGCTCACAAAACAAGAGCAATAGTCTCATATTTGATCAGCAATAATTCTAAAGTAGCATTTAAGTAAAATGGGGAAGAGAAAATTACACCAGAACTCTGTTCTTTCAATGGAGTTGCGGTGAAATTACTTAAATTTTGTAGCATCTTTTCAGTGTGTTTACTATTATTTTACAGTGTGTTTATTTTTTTCTACATTCATAATGAAATCAAAGAAAATATAAAAACACATCTGGATCGATTAAATGGAAAAAATGATCTTAATACTAAAACTATTAATAATGATTTAGTACTAAGTTATTCAAATGGATCATTTTTAAAAGACAAAGAAGTCTTTTCATCACTTAACTTGAATCTTTAATAAAAAATGTTTTACGCTCTCTCTGAATATATATCCATGGGTGAAGGACGCATTGTGAACGAGTTCATCGTAAAGAGAACGCCGTGAACGCGAGGTGAATCTACTAGCACGTCGTGAAAACTCCTTGAAGCGCATTCAATTGCAAAGTGATCTCCATGGGAACGCAGTTACTGTAGCACGTCGTAGAAACGCGTCGATCGCCGTAGGGACGCCGTGTCATCTTCACTTTGTAAAAAATTTACAGAAATTTGTGAAATTTTCCTGCGATTCCATGGCGATTTAAAGAATTTAAGACGTAATGACTCCGTGTGAACGCAGGTCGGTGTGACAGGGCCTTAATGTAACCAAAATGTGACACCATTCACGTGCGAAACACCACAGTGATTATTTCATAGGAATAATTACAGATAAATTATTTATGTTGATTATATTTTCTTTAATTTCCAGAACCGTTGCGTGACGAAGAATGGCGAACACTAAACCTGTTCGTTGCTACTCAAGCGTTTGTTAAAAAATACAAAATGTTTCTGCGACAAGTGTTTGGTACGTTTGTTCCTTGCAGTCATATTTACAATATGTAATCAAGAATATTTCAATATTGATTTCAAAATTTAATATCTTAAAATACAAATATGTCTTAAAAATGAATTAAGTAATAAATGAATAAATTAATTATTTATTTATACTGTGTATCAGAATTAATTTTATTTTCGAATGCTGCAGGTCAAACTTTCAGTTTTCTTTTTCAGAATTGTCTGGGGAATATGAAAACATTGACAGTATCATATGGATCCATGAATCAAATCACCCAGTCAACAAAACGGAAGTAGTCTTCGAATCGCTACAAACTTGGCGCCAAATGCTCAATCGGAAGGCCTCTGTTGATATCATTTGTGCTGCGTTGTCCAAAGCTGGGTGTAAAAAGCAAGTCGTTCAGATGGTTTATGATAAACATAAAGAAATAGTGGATTCTCGTGTAAAACCACCTGCTTTGAGGAGATCGCAGAGTTGTGCGGAAGGTTGTCTGTTAGAGAACGTAGGACCTATAGCGGGAAAATCTGTTGTAGAGATGTCTGCTTATATATAACTAGAACAATGCTTCCTCTGACACGGAGATTTGAATTTTACAATAAATAAAAGTAAACCGCAACTGGTATTAAACTCAGTTGTCTGTTCACTAAATTTTCCTGACTTGCTACATAATTATGTAAATTATCTAAATTTCTTTTTGTCTACTTTGTCTAGTGGAACTAGGCTTATTGTCTGTTTTCTTTTAAAAATATTTTGCTTTTCATTTAGCAGGATAGTAATTGCAACCAGTAGTATATGTGACCACAACAGTGGAATACAGAATTAAGTTTGATAAATTTATCGTCATGAGTTTATGTGCTTTTTTGTACTCGGAAGATATTGATGATGGTTCATGTACATGTAGCACTGGGATATTAATTGTAAACTTTAGCAACAAACATTGTGGTCCCTAGTAATATTCCTGTAATATCCAAAAATGCTATTAATACAAACCTTTGATGCATTTCTTAATTAAAGCTAGGCAATCACTCTACCCGATTAAATGTATGAAATATCATCAAAAATCACAAAGATGTTCCACCCAATTGCAATATATCTCTTCACTACAAAACAAAATTATAAAAATATTGATTATAAACAGATCTGACACCTACATTTTATTATTTTTAAATGTGCTGTGATCATTATTAGAATATTATTATTTTATTATAAATAGCATTTGTAACACAGGTGTTTATGATAGAAGACTCAATCAAACAACTGACTCGCATATAAAATTGCAACTGACACAGATTTATATATAAGAATACATTTATATATTCTTCGATTTACTTGACTTGTGCAAGGAGGGCTTCAATTGTAATTATATAAAAAAACTGACTCAACTGAGATAATTTTTTCATGGCATTTGACATATACTTTTCTACTTGTTTTGATCGTCCAATCTATTGCCTGAATATTGGACCAACGTTAAAGTTGTTTGTTTTGTGTGAACATTACTCCATTGTAAAAACAGCGTCGTACAAATGGGAAAAACCATATTACCTATGATGGAAAATACAATGAAATTGAAGTGTACAATGTATATGTGAAGACTTTTTCCTTAGAAATTGACGAAATCTTAATCATAAGTTCAACGACTAAATCGTAGAGGCACTTTTATAGCCGAGCCCACAAAATGATACCGAGCTATCATTAGTCACTGTTATAACGACAAAGTCCATGGCATGCTTTGGTATGAGAAACCCCAAATGTCAGAACGTAAAGTAAAGGGTGTTTAATGACTCTGTGAAAATTTCATTAAATGTTATTTAGTAGTGTACGAGAAGTTAAACGCAAACAGAGATGGGTACCCCCATTTATGAAAAAGGTTTGAATTCGCTTTTCTTTGGGAAACCCAAATACATGGACATCTGTCAGATAAAAATGACAAGAAGATGCACAATATAACTTTGTTGTGAGAGTTTCTTCAAAGTAGATTCAGTGAGGCTAGTCAAGTTGTGGATAAGGGATGTGAGAGGTACTGGGATCGATACCCGGATTCTCCACCAATTATCCTAACCGGTCCAACACCAAAACTTTCTAAACCTCGGACACTGGAGTATTTGAAAGGGGCAGAGTCCAGGATGACATTGGGCAGATCATGTGTTTTCTTTGTAAGCCGGAATCTTTGGCTGTGCAAGTGAGAGGACACACCAAGCGGAAGAACTCTGACTTATCCTTGAGCTTGGACGGAGTGACGCAAGTCAATTTTAATTTATGCGAATGACTCTTGAGCATTTAAATTCCACCTCCACTATACGAGGACCTTTCCAGACCAGAGCGTCTCACAGGTTTACAGGAGTGGCATTCTTATCCGACCTGTATAAAATGCATCCAGAGACAAAATCTAGATAACAACTAGCTCTTTATTATAATATCTGTTTTTACTATTTATAATTACAATAGATCATTTCAAACATTATACTTAACATTATGATATAACTTAGCAATTATAATATTAAATGTTTTAACTTGTAAATAAATTTTACAAAATTAACTTTGCAAGTACATGTATTATAAAAACGCGCAAGTCTACAAAATTATCTTACCTGTATAAATTGCTATGAGAGTCAGTTACATTGTCTGTCCGCGCTGCTTTTTTTAAATTCCTTTATCCATACATCCCCATATTTGTTATTCCTTCAAAAATTGCAATGATGACCCTTACATGACCTTATTCTGTTTCTCAACACTCTTTATTTTCCTACATGTGATGCGTTTTTTTTTTAAAAAAAAATCTTTCTTTTACATAACCTTTAAATTCTGTCTGTCATTTGTAATTTATTCTGACAATTTACCTTCGATCTCATCAATACCATTGGTTACTCCTTCATAAAATATATGATAACGAATAATATTCAAGCTCAAAAGTCCATTCAACAATTTTGGAGCAGAGGAAACAGGGAAATCTAAAACATCAGAGACGTGATCAGGTACCATGGAGAAGTGAGCACCCTCTGCCTACCGGTCACACTAATCGTGTGCCCCTTCTCATAATCGGGAAATAACGAATAAATCCATTGACAATTCAGTGTGTAAATGTTGGTGTAACAATTAATATGAAAAACGTCTCTCAGCATTGGACTTGATGATAAAATGTATTAGCTGAAGAGGTCACTGTATTGACCATAGAAATTACGGAATGATGACTTTAAATGAGACTGTTTATATTCTTGTTTTATTCACATGTTTGTAAATGACTTACATGTACCTCGTTTAAGATATTTTTCATACGTAAAGCATGCTCTAGCGTATTGAATCAACTGAGAGATATAAACCCCGTATGCAGGTGAAGATATATTACTGAATAAGTAAGGGAATTCAAGTAACCAAATATATCTTTTGATAATAAAGTTAAAATAAACGCTTGACAATAAATCATTTTCATAGATTCGTACATGAGAAAAGGACAAACACCTGTGTCCAGCGTCATGCTTGCTTTTATCACCAGAGCTCGAATCATGTTATCTCTCTCAGTTAAATACACAAAATATGTTTCAATCTTATTTCTATATACTATGTATAAGTGTATGAGACCAACAGACAGACACACATACCATCACTATATGCTAACACAAGCTGGAATACATAAAAAATGGAAAACGGCTGCTATGGCAAGCCCTTTTACTATTTATTTGGAAAATAATTTTTTGCTTAAAATTACAGAGATATCTCTTTCTCATAGAGACATCTCTTAAAAAATAGAGATATCTCTCAACTTAAAGAGATATCTCGCATTTTTAAGAGATATCTCTATGAGAAAGAGATATCTCTCTAATAAAAAGAGATATCTCTTATACTTAGAGAGATATCTCTTTTTATTAGAGAGATATCTCTTCCACTTGAAAAGATATCTCTTTCTCCTTTAGAGATATCTCTTTCGTGAAGAGATATCTCTAAACGTTAAAGAGATATCTCTTTCACCTAGAGAGATATCTCTTTTGCTTTTGGAGATATCTTTCCAAGTTAACAAGATATCTCTTTAAGTAAAAGAGATATCTCTCTTAGTTTATCTTAAGAGATATCTCTTAAAGGGAAAGAGATATCTTTCAAAAGTGTCTAAAAGAGATATCTCTCAAGCAAAAAGAGATATCTCTTTGTTGCAAAGAGATATCTCTGTTCATATTTTTTTATTTAAATTCCATTTCAAATGACTTCTCCCTGTAGCGGAAGTAAGTTTTATATTTACGGAAATACTCAAATTAGAAATAGTTGATCAATTATTTCATAAGCTGAGAAAATTCAGTCAATTGCATTTGAGATTATATATATATGCTTACTTTTGTTTTTCTGAATATTTAACTTTTAGCATTTTTATCAACGAAGTTACCATTATTGTTTGTTGTTTCAAGTAAAGGATTTCTAGCAATTTTGTCTACAGTACATGTATTATTCTGGGTAATGCTAATTGCCCAATCTTTTTTCTTATAACATCAAAACAATTCCAGAGACTTTACTTCCTGTTTCGCTTTCGTTTTAAAAAGGAGAATTAATTATTCTATTTTAAGCATAACTGAAAAAGAGATATCTCTTTCATTAAAAGAGATATCTCTTTAGCTTATAAAGATATCTTTTCTTGAAAATCTAAAGAGATATCTCTCTAACTAAGAAAGATATCTCTTTGTACCTTCTTCAAGAGATATCTCTCTAATTTTAAGAGATATCTCTCTCGCTTAAAGAGATATCTCTTTTGTTTAAAGAGATATCTCTCTAGCGTATAAAGATATCTCTTTTAGTCAAAGAGATATCTCTGAAAGCTAAAGAGATATCTCTCGATGTTAGAGAGATATCTCTCTTATTGAAAGAAAATTTTTATTTCACGAATAAATAGTAAAAGGGCTTGCCATAGGCTGCTCTTTAAGAAGGATACTTTAAAGCTGTAATAGTCACTGCAATGCGTATAACAAATCGATTAAATCTGGAACCAGAATCAATACTGAACAACTGTGCATCATAACCAGGAGTTAGAAAAAACAATATGTGAATTAAGGTAAGGAATAGTGACAAATTGTATGAATAAGCGAGTTAATTACAGTCTATTAGGGAATTGCTACCTAGGTTAAAGCTTTATCTGACAGCTTCTTTATATATTTAGCTGCTCATTTTGTCACTTCAGTGTAATTAGTCTCATCGGTATAGACGGATGTATGCTACACAGTGCTCACTCAGTAGCTACAAAAAATAACTTCTTTTAATGCAGGAGACTGAGATACCGAAAAAAACTTACTACAGTTGCACAGGACAATGCAGTAAAACAAATACAAGTACACGTAACTAAAATAAAATATGAACAAATGTAATGTAAGATAACCAGCATGACCACGTGTTGCCATTACACGTCGATACCCGTGAAATTAAAACAGTCAGGTGTATGGGCAGCGGAATGGGCAAAAATTACCATTAAATGAGAAAACAAACAATTATTTTAATTTCAATGAGCAGAAAAAACTTAACAGATGATATACAATGCATAATCACATGGCCTTTTCGCAAAACAAATATGCATTAAAGCAAAACTAACGGCTGCGTATGTAAC